ACGGAACTAAATACAACAAGATATGACCAAATCAATTTCTAAACGTGTTCGGAGTGAAATCGGAAATGTTTGTAAATTTTAGATTAATCTGTACCTTATACTTGATACATTGTAAAGTGAGACATATTAATAGCTTTAGAACTCTAAATGATCTTTCCAATGAGACATAATACGCTTGAAATGGAAGAACATACAAAAAGATATGAGTGTCACAAATGCCAAGCCTGAATTCCGTGATTTAGCGTTAGTTTTAAGCGTAAGTAGAGCATTATTAACGTAAATAAAATCCGAGATTAGAAATTCGGTTCATTAGGTATTCTTCCCCTAATATTTTGAAACCAACGTCTAAAGACGAGTTTTCGAACCCGATAAGATCTTTCCAATGAGATACAAAACGCTTTATACGGAACTAAAAATAGCAAGATATGATCAGATCAATTTCTAAACGTGCTCGAAGTCAAATCGGAAATGATTTTGAGTTTCAGGTTAATTTGCACCTTATAATTAATACATTGTAAATTCAGTCATAATAATAGCTTTAGAACTCTAAATGATCTTTCCAACGAGATATAATACGCTTGAAACGGAAGAATATACAACATGATATGATTGTCACAAATACTAAGTTTGAACTCTTTGATTTAACGTTTTTAGCGTAAATACAGTCTCGGATGTAAAATTCGGTTCATTAGGTAGTCTTTTCGTAATATTTTGAAAACGATGCTTGAAGACGAGTTTTAGAACATGAAAAGATCTTTCCAACGAGATAGAAAACTCTTTAAACAGAACTAAATATAGCAAGATATGATCACATCAATTTCTACACGTGTTCGGAGTGAAATCGGAAATGTTTGTGAATTTAAGGTTGATCTATACCTTATACTTAATGCATTGTAAATTGAGTCGGAACAATAGCTTTAGAATTCAAAATGATCTTTCCAATGAATATAATAAGCATGAAACGAAAGATTATATAGCAAGATATGAGTGTCACAAATATCAAGCCTGAACTCTGTGATTTAGCATTTTTTCAGCATAAATAGAGTATTTTTAGCGTAGATACAGTCTGAGATTTGAAATTCGGTTCATTAGGTAGTCTTCCCCTAATATTTTGAACCCGACGCCTGAAGACAAGTTTCAGAGCTCGATAAGATCGTTCCAATTAGGAAGAAAACACTTTAAATGGATTTAAAGACGAGTTTTCGAACTCAATAAGATCTTTCCAACAAGATAGAAAACGCTTTAAACGGAACTAAAAATTGCAAGATATGATCAGATCAGTTTCTAAACGTGCTCGAAGTCAAATCGGAAATGATTGTGAGTTTCAGGTTAATCTGTACCTTATACTTAATACATTGTAAATTAAGTCATAACAATAGCTTTAGAACGCTAAATGATCTTTCCAACGAGATTTAATACGCTTGAAACGGAAGAACATACAACATGATATGATTGTCAAAGATACTAAGTTTGAACTCTTTGATTTAGCGTTTTTAGCGTAAATACAGTCTCGGATGTCAAATTCGGTTCATTAGGTAGTCTTTCCGTAATATTTTGAAAACGATGCCTGAAGACAAGTTTCAGAACTTGAAAAGATCTTTCCAATGAGATAGAAAACTCTTTAAACGGAACTAAATATAGCATGATATGATCACATCAATTTCTACACGTGTTCGGAGTGAAATCAGAAATGTTTGTGAATTTAAGGTTAATCTGTACCTTATACTTAATGCATTGTAAATTGAGTCGGAACATTAGCTTTAGAATTCAAAATGATCTTTCCAATGAGATATAATAAGCATGAAACGAAAGATTACATAGCAAGATATGAGTGTCACAAAAAGCAAGCCCGAACTCTGTGATTAGCATTTTTCAGCGTAAATAGAGTATTTTTAGAGTAGATACAGTCTGATATTTGAAATTCGGTTCATTGGGTAGTCTTCCCCTAATATTTTGAACCCGACACCTGAGACAAGTTTTAGAGCTCGATAAGATCGTTCCAATTAGGAAGAAAACACTTTAAATGGATTTAAATACAACAATATATGATCCAATAAATTCCTACACGTGTTCAGAGTGAAATCAGAAATGTGTGTGAATTTCAAGTTAATTTGTACCTTATACTAAATTCATTGTAAATTGAGTCGTAACAATGCTGATAGGGTTATGCCGTCCATGATTGAGGTGTGGGATATTGTCTTGTTGGATGCTTCACATGTAGTTTCCCGGGAATAAAGGATGTCCACGAATTAAAAGAGAAATGGGGGGTAAATTGTATTGTTCAGCCCCATTATAAGGGTTGGGTTTTCTTTAAGTTTCAAAATGAAGCTGATAGACTGAAAGTCCTTACTGAGGGACTTTACACTATTTTTGGTAAGTTACTTATAAAGAATCTGACCCAAACAGTGAACTACCACCTAGGGCTAAGAAAGCTTATAAGGAAGACAAGGAGGAAGTCACTTACTTCCGAGATGCTGGATGACTGGCCGATTTTTTTGAAATGGGGAACATGAAGCATGGCAGCCGTAAAAGCCCCCCCCTCTCTCTCTCTCCTACTCCCCTACGAACCCTAGATCTTGACATATGACATCTTTTTGGCTTGGAATATTAGATCATCTCCAATGTGGTAGTGGATTGGAGTAAAGTCTATTCTACATGGCATAGGAGAGAGATAGAGATATGATAATTATTTTAATTTAATATGGAGAAAGTGTTATGTATGGAAAAATGAAAAGGAATAGAGAGATAGGAGTAAATTGTAGACAACGTCTATGACAATGTCCACAAATAGACATTACATGGGAATCGAGGAGCAAAAGTGGATGAAAAATGGGTTAGAAGTGACATAAAAAAATGAAAATGAAAATAAATATGGAAATATGTAGGTCCTACACATAAAATTTGTGAGATAAAAAATGGGACCCATTCGTAAGAGTGTGTAAGACAATAGACATCCCCATGGGAGATGCTCTTATGTTTCTAAACATTTAATCCTCCTCTTTGGACGCTTGCAGGATTGATGGGCCACAGGACCCAGCAGAAAGCCCACTCTCTTTTATTTTTATTTACATTTACATTAAATGGTCCCCAACCTTTTTTTCTTTCTTCTTGCTCGATTTGGGCCTGGTTTTTGTTAAAAATCAACCATTCCCCACTTCTTTGGTCTTTTGTAATCCATACTGTTAAACTTCTTTTAATATAAATTTGGTAAATGTTACCTGACATTTATCACACTCCGGGGGGGCCTAGTGTCACAAATACTAGGCCTGAACTATGTGAGTTTGCGTTTTCAGCGTAAATAGAGAATTTTTAACGTAAATACAATCTGGGATTTGAAATTCGGTTCAGGTAGTCTTCCCCTAATATTTTGAAACCAACGCAAATCTTCCCCTAATCTGGAATTTTTTTTTTTTTAAACCAACGCAATATCCTTTCGCTCCAGCCTCTCTCTACTAAATATCCGTACATCATCTTCTTCCTCAACCCACATTTCGTTCCTTGGATTTCTACCTTTGATTTGTGTGTTTTGAGCTTGCATATTTATTAACCGTAAATCTGTAATACATTCCCTTCCTCTAGGGGTGTATTATCTTTAATTTTTTTTAGCTCCAAATCCATAGTCTTAGGTAGTTCTTGAACGATTTGGTCGCACAAACACTATCCACCTACGAAAAACATTTTTGTATATCCCTTTTGAACCTTTTGAGCTAAGATGATGATGGATATGGGGTGATAATAATCGTCTTCCCTAGGCGCACTCCCAGTCTAATCTTAGCTCCAACAGCCCCATTCGTACACTCCTCCATTTGACCGTTGGTACGGACAGCTCCCCCCATTGGTACGGACAGCAAGCTCAAATAGGAGAGGGAAGATTTGGGAAGGACTTTTGGGAGGTTTTCTCACCCTGGGTCCCTCTTGGATGTTCTTTCTTACCTTACCTAGATACGGACTCTTTTCCTACTATGGTTGTAAGGAATAAATTTTATTTAAATTTTGATGATGCTAGCCTAATTAGGATATTAGAGTACCCTTTTAAAAAATTGTATTAGAAATTTTCATGTGTAAGTACATATAATATTCAACGGACCAGAGCACCTCAGGTCTTCTATCTTGCCTTATGGACAAAACTGCTCAAGTCACCTGTGAAGACTGTCCTCTACAGAAGTAAATCCAAAATTGCTTACACTTAGAAGTTTTGCTCAAAGTCGTTAATCTAACGGGATATTCCCTAACGGTTAGGAGCCACTCAACAGAAGAACTACAGTACCACGCATTAAATGCTCATTTAATGCTCTCCACTCGTTGACATATTTAAAACAGATGATTGACCGAAGAATTCGGGAGAATAATATTTAATACACCCCAAAATAGTAAGTTGACTACTTTGCGGGAACCAACCGGTCACATCAACAGTATAAGCATTTAATGAAGGTGTTCTCTACACTCCAACGGGAAGATAACTTTATCTTTGGAATTCAAGCAAGCAAAAAACTCTCTTGAGAATATGGCTGTTTTGTGAGTTTTGGAGCCTTCGGCCATATTGTCGAAGGCTACCCTGGGCGTTCCGTGGGCCACTTTGAGCTTGGGCCGCTGTATCTTGGGCCTCCTGCGCTTCTTGGGCTTGTTGGGCCTGTGATAGAGTAGTAGGAGTCTGTGGACCGGAGGTTCCTGGGCCATATACTCCATCAGCTACCACTCCATCTATCACTTGTCTAAAAAGGAATTACACATCCATTTACTTAGAGCAACAATGAAATCATCTTCGCCCAATCTCTCACAAATACTCTAAATAAATTCCTATGAATTTATAATTATGATTTGGTGTGTGATGTTATTTGGTCTTGGTTATATACAATGGCGTAGCTAGGGGTGGGCCAGACCTGGCCCTAGCCCAGCCCAAATTTTAAAAATGTCTTTATTTTTAGTGTAAAAAATTGCGTGTAAAATTTTTTTCAAAAATATTTTTTGTACAGGCCCAATCTGGCCCAGGATCCTGGCTCCGCCCCTGATTATATATGAATCTATTGATTTCCATCGGTAAATACAACATTTTGAATGTCTAAAGCAATATCCAATACTCATTAGAAACTTACACTTTGTGTTTTTTAACAGAAAGGGAATATATGTACAAAGACTTGAACAAAGGAACCTAAGCCTGTGACATTGTAGCTTAAGTGCTTAAGCATAATGGAAAAAAGATCGGGAAGTGAAACACAAGGGGTTAGTTGAGGCAGAGTTTCAATGGAGTCCACTTGACTTCTCAACTGTAGACAACAAAAAGACATTTTTCTTCCTCCATCATGTGTTGTAGCAGCAGCACAATACAAATTATCGGTGGCAGTGACCCAGATTCTCCCCTTGATGACATACATTGTGGGCCCTCTAACCCCACCCCCACCCCCACCAAGAAGCAGCTATTGTCTCTCTTTCATTTCCCCGCGGGCTTCTGATGTGGGCTCTTTCCCATCCCCCTGGACTTGGAAAGGGTTTGTTTGATAAGCCCTTGTATGAACCTACCCCTTTTTAGAAAGACAATTAATTGCCACAAAATCCTGGATTCCCTCCACTCCACTGAATTGTTTTATTTTATTTTATTTTGACTTTGCACGTGGCCCATATATATTCTGCATAGTCAGTCTTCTCCACATATATATCTTATCCCTGGTGATATCTCATCAGATTGATATCTCTTGAGTAACCCAAATCCTGCTGCTGCCATTACATTCAGTGCATCAATGTTAGCAAACTCCCCACCGTCATAAATAGTGCCTCTAAGTATTTCAAAGCGTAGACAAAAGCTAGATTTCCACTCAACAAAAAATCTTACTCCGTACAACGCTTTTTTTTGTTTCTTAAGCTACCAGTACAATTACGTTGTTAAAATATTATGAAGAGAAAAACAATATCAGCTAAATTAAATTGATAAAAAAAAATGGAGACAACAAAATAAAGAACGATGACAGATCAGAGTTTAATGAGATAAAGTTTGTGTGGGTGGGTGAATCGGTGAAAAATGTATAATGAAAACGATAGGTTTTGTGGATCCTTTTTAAGGGTTAATGCATTGCATCCATGGAGGGATGGCCATGCTGTTTGAAACTTGTGTGCTGCCCATTCTAGATACAATGTACAGACCATTAATGCAAACAAAAGAGTATTTCAATATTAATTATTTTAATGGGTGCTATGTGATTTTGTAATTTCAAGTTTAAGGGTTTGACGACTAAACTACCAAATCATGTTACATATCATTAAAAAGAAGATAATGATTAATGAGCTTAAACAGTACAGTACACGTAGAGCGTGAATGCCATTAGTGTGAAAGATCCAGTCCAAGAATCATTGCCGATCTAAAATTAAAAGCAAATCGTTTTGTCACTTTCGAACCCCGAAAATAGTGCACAGGCAAAATGCTTTTTAGTCTTGACGACTTTGGTTTTGTATTCCAAGGGCACCGAATTTGGTTTTGTCTAAAATTGATTCTTGTACACACGACAATTATTGACAACATAAAAGTCCAAGCTTAAAAAGTCCAACTTGCAAAGCTGCCCAGGCCAGTTATATTACTTCTATTAAATAATTTGACCTCATACCCCAATTCTCACCATTTTTGTGTTTCATTTTGACATATTCTACTCTACTTTTAAAAATGTCCGACGAAATATTTAAATAAAACTACAACATCCAAATGTGAGAACGTAATATAGGCCTAAAAACAGGGTTTGATGATTAAAAAAAATACAATTAATAATGTCCTATTTACGTGCTACTACACGTATGCTCTATATGTAAGTATAATAGGGAGTACTCCGTATTACATAATAATAAATGGTTACAGAAATTACTGATATATGCACAACTCACGTTTTGAAGATAACTTGTTTTCGTTGCTTTTCTCAAATTCCAGGGTAACTTTGTACGTAAATTGTAGTATGTACTATGTATAGTGGAGACTAATATACGGATCGGAGTATTTTTTTATTCTTAAGAAATTTTGATTGTTAAATACAAGAAATTAAATTACTGTTGTGTGCATATAATGGCAGCTGTATTTATTTTGTATGTATCTGCCTCATTAAAGGAAGCAGGAAAATCAAGTGGGGATCGGACTGTTCAACATAGACTCCTCCCACTCACACTGTGAGCCGCATTCTTTCTTTACTAAATTGTACCACGTACTTTTTGTTTGATTCATTCTAGTCTAAGCCTCTAAGGTAGTACCAAAAAGAAAAGAGCTTTTTTTTTGTAAACACGCAATTGGGAGAAAAATGCTCTATCTTCTTAACGTGAGTACAAATAGATTTTTCGAAAAGAAAAAAAGACAGAGTGCAATTTCTATACAACTTTTGCTATTATATCATACCTCATTTTTGTTAACCATTATTGACTTTTCTAGTTAATAATTATATATTTGGAATGATCATTTTAATACTTATATTTAAGTTAAAACTTTAATTTTTATGCTTTTATATTTGTATTTTTAATAAAGAACATTTTTATATTCATTCCATAGTATAAATACTATGTAATAGAAATACATTATTCGTCAAAGTCCACATCTTTAACGAAAAAGTAATAAGAGAAGCAGAATGTACATTATCCGTCAAAGTACTAAAAATGTTTGACATACTCCCTCCGTTCTCCATTAGTTGGCCCTATAGGTTTGACACAAGTTTTAAGAGGAAAATAATATGGATAGTGTAAAAGGTGTAGTGGGTTGTGTTTAAATAAAAAGTAGGAAAAAGAATAAAAAAGTAGGAAAAAGAATGAGGGTAAATGAGTATATTTATTGAAAAAACTTTCCAAAAATAGGAAGGGCAAATATTAGAAAACAACCCAAAATGGAAAGAAGGACACGTGTTAGAGAACGGAGGGAGTATTATTATATTTATATATAATTTATAAACTTTATACTATTTTGAAAATATTTTTAATACGGGACATTTTACTATAACTTTCTTATTAAAAATAATTTCTTGTTAAAGAATAGAGTCAATTTGATAAACTTTTTCGGACGGAGAGTATAAAATGCTAGCATTGACCACATTCAAAAAAAATTGTGAACAGTTGGATCAAGATTGCGGATTGGGACAAGCATGGTTGGCCGCATTTTATGCCGCATTTATTCAAATATATAGGTAGTATAATCTGCGGCAGGAGTGAAACTAAATTAAACAATGAATTTTCCTCTCGTTGTACAGATAGAATGTGGGGCTCAAGGAATATACATACCATGTGAGTGTAGTGGTTGTTGTAGGAAGCAATAGGGTTGGAATAATATTGGTATAAGTAGTGATGGCCGGTCTGAGCCGTGGTCGAACCATCTGGCGTGACCGACTCAGCAGCTTGGCCGCACTCCATGTTGACCCCAAACAACCTTAGCGTCTTTGAGTTCCCACTTGATGGTGTTTGGCATTCTGTAGTAGATGATGACCCTGCATATTTCATTTCATAGCATTCATTATCAAACAGAAATTAAATCGCAAGGGCGAATTTCTTTTTCAAAGACACGATATGTGTTGTCAAAATAGCTAGCTACCTTGATAGGTTCGTTCTCATCTTAACGATCGATGGTGTGCACATAATTAATATGCAAAGCATGAAATGTTAATGTCTAATACTCCGCATGTAACTGATGTTATATGATGCTACCTCCGTCCTTAAATAAATGTAACACTTTGACTTTGACATTATTAACATTATCTACTTTGACTACGTTTTATTTATTAATGTAATAATATTATTTTATGAAAAAAAATATTGTTAAACTTGTCTCATTGTACATTTTCATAATCTAATTTTTTTAATTTTTTAATAATACAAAATCATTTATATTAATGGTCAATGTTGTGTCTCGACAAGTGTGAAATGTTGACCATTACATTTATTTGAGAACGGAGGAAGTACTCCATACGCCATAAACTTTATGCGTGTACTAAATTTTGAAATGTGTAAATGTTTGAGGAGTGCTCCGTAAATTTTACAGAAATGCTAGGGGTACCCGGCCCCATTTTGTGTACCCATTCGTACACATACAATACAGATAAAATTCTTTGTATACAGATAACTCTGTTCGGAACTACAAAATTGTAAATATATAAACAACTCTGTCAGCGTAAAGAGACAGTATATGTTAATGGATACGCAAAATGGGGTACACCTGCCATTTTTTGTAAATTTTATACGTACCTGCAGCGACATGATGAAAGTAGTCCGGGTGGTATGGAAGATCTGCCGGCAGCTGATAAGGATAGTAACCTTGGCCCCACCCACCTCCGACAACTGTACCCATCCCTTGTTCCTTAACACCTGCAGCAGCTGCCGTAGCACCGGCACTTCCGCTTCTCCTCCTCCACCCGATAAAGAACCGTTCGCCGTCAAGACGGTGGCGCAAGAACAGCACCACGTCTCCGGCGTCCAGCCGCTTCTCCTTCACGAACCTGCTCCACCCTTTGGTCAGCACGTAGCTTTGACTACTGTTCCAATATGAGTACCTAATTATAATAAACGAAACATTATATATACTATACTCCGTAATTAATTAGGATCGGGGTGAGTATAATTGAACAAATAAAATACTCGATCAGCTTGTATATATATTGAATGAACTACGTACGTACGTACCTGAAACGCCAGAGCTTGCCGGAGTCGTCCTCAAAGGTGAGCAACAAGCCTTTATCGGCGGCGGTGGAATCTTTGCCAGTCAAGGGGAAGTATTTTTCGGCGTTCTGTTTGGGGATGACCAAGCGGTTGAGCTTTCCGACGTCGCTGGGAGTCAAAGGCTTCTCGAACAAGTGGTCCTTGGGGACGGCAGGGCTATGGGAAAGCTGCTCTTCGTCGTCTCCGTCGTTTAGGTCGAAGTTGAAGCCCCGCTTGGAGGAGGAGGAGCATTCCATTGTGTCCTGCTCCTCCTCATGGTGTAGTATCTGATGATGTTTACTGCTGCTCCACCAGAAGGCCGAAGACGACAAGTGTTTTGCAGAGGATGACATTATATTCCCCCCACGGAGCAGAGGAATTGAGCTAGCTAGCTAGGCTACAGAAGACTGACTACCACTCACTACTTGAATTATGGCCAGGGCGGGGGTTATGGACTGGAAATTGGGAGATTGGAGCAAGCGTTATATAGATCGGAACTCGCAGTAGCTTTATGTATGTATGTACTCCTCTGTCCCTAAATTTACTTCCATTTCGCTTTTCGAGAGTCAACTTAAATCACTCTTAAACTCTTACTTTTTGTATCAAAACTTTATGAAAATTGATTTTTTTTTGCAGGCTTTGTAGCGGGTTTAATGTAGTTTCTGAATATGTAAATTTTATTTACTAAAAATAATCCGAGTTTTCACAGGGATCATTTAACTTTATCGTCGGTCAACCTTCGTAATCCGCAATTGGAACAACATTCAGGGACGGAGGGAGTATGTACATGGTGTAGTTGTGCTAGAATGATGTCGTATCTAGCTTAGCTGTCGAAGGTGCTACGTACACATTCAATTAGCTTAGGACCCCTTTGAATTTCTATTTTCCTCTTTTTCGGTGAGAAATGTCTCATTCATTCTATGTGTGATTGAGATTTGTATAGTAGAGAGAAAAATAATAAAAATCATAAAACATTTGATTAAAAGGAAAAATTGCAAATTATTTAGGACGTCTTAAAAAGAAAGATAATAAAGTTTTAAAGATGAAAGATATTTTAATTTGACATTTAGTAATGGATGTATCAATTTTTAAAATGCATTAGATATAACTAAAATTGATTGAACAATGTAAATTGAAGTAATGGCACAAAACTATGAGTAAAATGATTCTAGACAAAAAAGCGGCCAACTCCATCGCAACGGTCTTCTCATCCGTTTTTCAATCTGCACTCCAAAGCCACGAGTTTAATGCACCAAACTCCCTAATGATTTGGAAATTCAGCGCATTAGCCCTCTGTGATTTAAAAAATGCGTCAAACCCCTTGTGTTTTAATTAATCATGCACAGAATCCCCTTTATGAATAAATTTAACGATTTGAAAATCACTATTTCTAATATTTTGATTGAATATGCAAATAAATATGTCAAAATCTCTGAATCATACAAAAATGTTAATCATTTTTCTTTTATTTGACAATTGAATTTGTTCACATAAGGGATTTGGCGCATGATTAATTAAAACACATGGGGGGTTTGACGCATTTTTTAAATCACAGGGGGCTAATGCGCCGAATTTCCAAATCATATGTGAGTTTGATGCATTAAACCCCCAAGACCAGGAAAGAGCTTCTTAGATGTTGCAAGCTTTATGCTTCCGTTTTTCCTTCTGCACTCCAAAGACCATCGACCAAGTTTACGCCACCGCGAGCAGCCATTTTCTCAGGCCGTCACCATGGTAGTGAGCCTCAGGCAGTGACGAGCTTTGCTGACAAATTGCGCAGACCTCCCCTGCTGCAACAAAGAAGATGATCTTTCTCTCACTGCACCACTTCGTCTTTCTTCTTCGCATCTGCTCGACTGCTCCATCGTGGCCGGTGTCATTGCCCCTGATTGCTAAGGTTTCAGATTGCAAAATTGAACCCTCAAATCACCATGAAACCTTAGATCTGAAGATGGAGGCAGGGTGCAATGTTGGAGCAAAATTGAATTGCAAAGAGGGATTACGGCTGAGGGACTGAGGTGGCGCTAGCGACAGTCGGCAAGGCAGGGGAGAGGCTAGTAGGCTTTGAGGCGGTGCTGGAAGAGGGGCGGGACCGGAAAGGTAGAAGTGGGACTAGCGAGGCAAGGGTAAAAGAGAAGTGGGGCACACAATGATAGGAGGGTGGTGGCCTGGGCATTAACGGGTCACTAAGCACCTGAAAATGATGTCGGAAAATTTTCTGACGATCATCATCGTCCACGGTCGATGACCGGATCCGGAATCCTCAATGGTTCGGGGGTCATCCTCGTCCACGATCAATGATCGGATCTGGAACCCCCAACTAACAACTCTTGAGTCATCCTCGTCCACAGTCAACGACCGGATTCGGAATCCCCAAACACTCTTGAATCATCCTCGTCCGCGGTCAACGACCGGATCCGGAACCCCCAATCATTCTTGAGTCATCCTTTTCCACGGTCAGCGGTCGGATTCGGAATCCCCATACATTCTTGAGTCACCATCGTCTACAGTCAACGACCGTGATGCTTGTCTCCCGGCCCTCAGCCTCCTGGTGGAAGATGTTCATCTCACGGCCCTCGGACGTGATGGTTGCCTCTAGGCCCTCGGCCTCTGGGTGAAAAATGCTCGTCTCACAGCCCTCGACTGTGATGGTCTTCTCTAGGCCCTCGGTCTCTAGGAAAAAGATGCTCGTCTCTCAGCTCTTGGCCGTGAAGTTCTTCTCTAGGCCCTCGGCCTCTAGGTGAAAGATTTCCGTCTCACGGCCCTCGGTCGTGATGGTCTTCTTTAGGCTCTCAGTCTCTGGGAAAAAGATGCTCGTCTCTTGGCCCATGGCCGTGAAGGTCTTCTCTAGGCCCTCGGTCTCTGGGTGAAAGATGCTCGTCTTACGGCCGTCGGCCATGATGCTCTTCTCCAGACCCTCGGCCACTGGGTGATAAATGCTCGTCTTACAGCCCTCGGTCGTGATGGTCTTCTCTAGGCCCCCGGCCTCTGGGAAAAAGGTGCTTGGCTGTGAAGCTCGTCTCCCGGCCCTCGACCTCTGGGTGAAAGATGCTCGTCTCACCGTGATACTTTTCGTGAACGACACCAAGATTCATTTGGAGCAGCATCTGTCATCGGTCGTGCCGATCATGATCTTTATCTGCACTGTGAACATCGTAACGCAACCAAATGGCCAGACAATATGGTATATGTGTATACCCCTCCTCTTTTTTTATCAGCCTGAGGTTCTTCCGGGCGTGACCGTCGGCCTAAGGGTACAATGACCCTCGGCTCGCCACCTAGTCATTAAATTAAAATGACGGTGGAAACTCATCACATGAACTACGCTCGGCATTATTTAATTTCGGTATATTCAATCCTTATTAAATAATGGTGACAACTAATAACAATAATATAAGCAATCAATAACTTAAATGTACTTGCTTAAAAACATGGGTACTTAGCTCTTGATTTGGCTGTAAAGTGGTGCATTGGCCGGCCCATCATGGAATCCATTTGGAGAGAGTAGGATCAGGCCAAACCCAACGCCCATCGGTGTTCTTTTAAACTCCACCGACCTCAACATCAATGCATCAAAGAGAGAAGTTTATCTCCATACTAGGTGACTCGATCCCAAGCCATATCAAGGGCCGTTAGGCAACCAGACCTAGGCCAAGGGTCTACCAAGAATCTGTCATCTGTATGGAGAAGTTCTGCCATTAGTGGCTTGAGGCGGCGGGCATGGTTCCAGCGGAGTAACAGTGAGAGACGGGCGTCTGAAACTTTTCGGGGCCGACAGTGAGATCTGACGTCCATCCAGTCTTTTGAGGTGGTCCAAATTGCGACAGGAGAGCCACACTGCTAACCTTCAACATCTTCTGAAGCTGGTCCGAGTGGCATCAAGGATTTCTAGCAGCCAGTCCACCAGGGGTCCGAGCTGTCTAGGGGACGAACGGTGTTGACCACCGGGTGGCGTTTTAGGAGCCGGGTGGCAACTTCACCGGAAGGCAACTCAGCTGGATGGCGTTGAGCATTGAGCAGGGCATTGGAAGCCGGGCGGCTAACCTACAAGGTCCCAGCTATTCTGAGAAGCCGAGCGGTCAGTCTACAAGGTGACTGAGCCATCCTGGGCTGAGGCGCCTTGAGAGCCGGGTGGCATTCTGAGAGTCGAGCGGCCAACCTACAAGGTGTCCGAGCTGTATAGGAAACAGAGCCGCATTGAAAGTCGAGCAGACAATCTCCAAGGGCACCCAAATCTGTCCCAAGATTGAGCCATTTTAGAGTTCGGACGGTAGTATCACCGGTTAGTGAGCTGAGCTAGGTCGGCCAAAGTTGTGTTGTGTTTGCCTAGCGGTCGGAATTACATCGGGACTTGGTCTCTCCCTAAGATGTGACGCTCGGACTGCAGATTGAGTGGACCTGACGGTCATCCTATGCAGGCCTTAGAGTCCAGATAGCTCTTCCAATCTGTCCTCGTGCCTGTATTTTGGTCACCGGAAAGCTTGCGATTTGTACTCAAGTGGGCGGCTGCCCTGTCCGAGATTCGCTACCCCAGCTATCAGGTTATACTAGCACACTTCTAGTTTCCCTTGGTTGCAACTGCTAGTCCTTCCGCAATCCTTTTTTGTTGTTGAAATCAGTCCACTTCGTATAAATATTTTTTTTGTAATAATCAAGAACACATGAATCTTTTTTATCAAGATTCCCACAGACGACGCCAGTGTTGAGTTGAATCCAACACGATATAGTAAATATAGATATAATTTGGTATGAACACTTGATCTTTACGTGGAAACCCGAAAGGGAGAAAACCACATGACTTTTTAGCCTAATCTCCTCACCATTAGAATGTACAAATATTGAGCTTCCATTAATGGAGTTTGCTAAGCTAGCTGTTCTATTCTAGAGAGGAGGAGAAAAAGGGGGATCAAGAGATCAACCCCTAACATGGAGGGAAGGCCTCCTATTTACAGGAAAAAAAGGGTAGGGGAAAGCCTACCATAATGGGTCAAGCAGGCCAAAATGGGCCTCAAAGGGTCAAAAC